CTTCAATATTCACAGATATGGCTACAAATGTAGGGTTACGTCCGCTTAGATAATTAAACACGTTATTTCTCCCACACCCTCTTTCAGATCATGTTGAAAATTTAAACAATCAATTATTGTACCTAACTAAACATGAATCAATTTAAAAAAAACAATTAGTAAATCAATTATTGGTAATTAATTATTTTGTTTGATATCGAATAAGGGTAATAACGTCTGTATCATGGAAGGATAGTCGTAAGTGCAGAGCTATTTCCCTTCTATAATTGTCGTTTAATTTATTTCATTTTGCTTGTTTTATTATTTCCTTTTGTTACTATGTGATTGCCCGTTTTTGTTTTGTGTTATTGTTCGACTGTTTGAAATCTCAAGATTTTATTAATTTTATTTAAAAGTGGGCGACCGATTGACTAAATGTTGGTGACTCAAATGAACATAAGCTAGAACTAAATTAGATCACGCATGCCCCGTCGAGAGGATTTAAATAATGAAAATAATTAATTAAAACGAACATTATAGTGTATTGTTTGTTTGTTTAGATCATATTTGTGTATTATTGTACGCTGTTCTTTCTCCAAATTTCAAGCTATGCCTTTTCGTAATTTCTTGTCCTAATAGCTAGATGGCTGCTTGGTCGTGCGGTATGCGCGCTGGACTGTCGTTCGGACTTCTTTTCGATGGTCCTGGGTTCATACCCTGCCCGCAGCCATCACCCCTTCGTCCTTAGAATTAGAAGAATTACAGAAATCAAATCGGAGCATGTCTTTCCACCAAGAAATATGCCATTTATTAGGAGTAAAAAAAAAACAAATAACTAAAACCTTTTTATTTTATTTATGATAAATCAATCACTTAGACTAAAAACTCAAAATAAGTAGGTATAATAGTAAATGAAAAGTTATCATGGAATCTCCATATTGATGTATTATTTTCAAAAATCAAGCAATACATTAAGGTTTGGGAATCCAAAAATTCTCTACCTGTATGGTGACATGTATACACTACGCAAGACAGCAGGGTTTCTGTCCAGGGCTTTTGCAAGAGAGGATTAGAGCATCTCAAGCCCTCACTCAAATGGAGTTTGATGATGATGATGAAGGTTTATTTAAAGAAATGTTTATAAATCAAACATGAACATAAAGATAAAACTCTGGTTAGGCCAGTAATAGAAAAAGCATCCCTTTATTTGGGACCCCTCAACTCATGAAAACATTAAGAAACTGGAACAGACACAAAACAGAGAAGTGACATTTATAACTAAGACTAAGACATCTTTATTGATCCTTATGGAAATTAGTTGTGGAACGAATATTCAAATTTGATTAGAATAAGACCAATAGTAAAATCACAAAACTTTGAGACACTGCAGGACAGAAGAATAAAAAGTAAAGCAGCTATAATACGTACAACACTGAACCAGAATTTATAAACAGAAAAAAACAAAAACAAAACCTGATGAAATACTCAGAAAGTCTAAAAGATAAAAGTCGATTTCTTATTCCATATTCTAGAACAAAAGCATACACGTGACTTATGATACGTTGAATTAAAACTTCCGCTTTAAATTGTCCTCCCAGTCACACTCCCTTCTGGCATCTTGGACTTTATATCAAACATCTCTTTCCCGCCTTTTTTTTCCCGCTCCTCAATACGCTTGAATGTTAGTATCTGTTACATCTGTTTGGGACCCCTTAACTCAAGAAAACATTAAGAAACTGGAACAGACACAAAATAGAGCAGTGAGATTCATAACAAACGAATATTCACATTTGACTAGAGAAACACCTTTAGTAAAATCACTAAATTTAGAAAGCCTTCAGGACAGAAGACTCAAAAGTAAAGCAGCAATGATACATAAAACACTGAACTTTTTCATAATCCTCAAATACAACAAAAAAATAAATAATAAAATACTCAGAAAGACACAAAGATAATGGCACATTTCTCGCTCCATATGCTAGGACAAATTTGTACAAATACTCCTTCTTCCCTAGTGCTATTAGAGCATGGAATGGGTTGCCTGAGCTAGCCAAGAAAACCAGTGACTTGGCAGAATTTAAGTTAATATGCATGACTAAATGCATGACGCGTAGGACGTAATCATCTTCTTTTTTGAAGTAACGTCTGTATTATATAAGATAGGAAGATCTATTACATCTTAGACTTTAATGCTTTTTATCGAAATATTTGAAAGGCTCTCTGATGCTTTCAAAAGCCAATTCGGTTGTTGTAAATCGATCGAGGTTTTAAATACCTTTTCAACTTTAAATGTCAATGGAATTATTAAAATTAAAGTGCGCAAAAATATGTTTTTTTGTTCGCATGATTAGGGATTCAAACTTCTGATCCTTCGTTCTACAGGATGACCCTAAACCTAATGAGCCTACCTGCTCTTAATGATTAAAAAAAATATGAGAAAAATTTAAAGTGTTAAAGGATGAAAAAAAAAATTTTAGATTAATATGAAAATATGCCTAGTTAAGCCTAGTACTTACAGTGACAATTTGTCGGATTTTTCATTTTAGATCTATAATCTCGATCTAATCTTTTGTTAAAAAATACAGACGTTCTTTTGTTTGTAAATGTTTTATATGCTTCGGATCTTCCTTCAGAGTCTAAACGTGTAGAATTAAAATGAGGCTGGGGGTGAAATGGATGTACTTATTTTGTAATAGGTCGTCTTCCAAAAACATATCGGGTCGAAATTGCGAAAATAGAATGGCTATTGGTCAATAGCGGTTTCGATGGTGAAAGGTGCTTAGTTGTCCTACGAACACTGAAATAATAACTGGTTCAATTTTCGTTTTTTTTTGTTCAGAGGAGAAATAGTTGATAGTCAGTCAGTCAGTCAGTCAGTCAGTCAATCACTGAATCAATAAATCAGAGCCTTTGCACTTATAATAAAGATTTAATTTAAAAAAAAAATTAAAGTAATAGTAAGCTACCTGTGAGTCAACTTGGATTTAGGAAAGCCTAATAGCGTCTTTACTGATTTTGTAACCAATCAATTGAACTTACTTTAATCCCATCAACGTCATATTATATAACATGGATAATTTGAATTCGAATGTCTAATTATAGTTATGGAACATACAAAAAAAACAACTAATATGGATTTAAAAAAAAATATTTTAGACATGAAATAAGTTAAAGTGTATTTAATGCGGTAAAACAGTAATGTTGCTTTTTTTAAATTTTATTTTATCTCTACTTCACAAATAAAGCCAAAAGTACTGCCAGGAGTGCAAACCAGATCGTTCATGTGCCAAATGTTGCCATATGTATTGTAACTTTGACAGTTTTCCCTAGTTCCACCATTTGGTTCTCCTGGGCCCCAGTTGATAAATTTTGCTGGAGTTTTGCTGTGACGATTGATCCAAACTCCTTCTTGCCTCTCGTCTGTAGCCCCAGTAATAACTTGAGAAAATAAACCTAACGCTAGCAAATTGTCTCTGATAAATCTGAATTCCTCTTCACTGTCAACCTCAGCGAGATAACCTCCAAACAGACCACAGAGAACTTCAGCTAGGTTTGCTGTGATATAGAGTTGGTTCTTTATCAACATGTATTGTTTGCCTTGGAAAGTTGGGGATACTACAAACAAAGCATTCGTCAAATTATTTTGCTCAGAGAATTTCAATTTATTAAAGTTGTCAAGAATTCTTACACGATCTTCTGTGGAATTTATTCTTGATTGAAGATTTTCCATAATCTGTGTTAATTTTTGTAGAGTATCGACAAGTTGTTCATTATCAGGCCTTACACCGATAACTACAGCAGTGCTAGATAGAGTTACAGCTTTCCCTAATGTATTGATTCCATTGGCTTCACATTTGTAAACACCAGACTTATCTAGGTCCGGAAATTCCCAAATAACTCTAAGAAAAGATTCATTTTTGTTGTTGATTTGTCCAGAGTACTTCGCATTGGAATCTTCAACGTTCTCAGCCTTAACATCTGAGTCAAAACTATTGATAGAAGTGATGTAGTTGAAGTCTGACTCAGTTTTATCCGCAGCTTGATAAAGAGACAAAGATATCAAATAAGACATCGTTGGGTTTTGTCCTTGTAAGTAAAGACATTCGACTTTGAGACTCCTTGAAAGACCAACAGTCAATGTTTTTGGTACTACATTCATTATGACATCTGAAATTCAAATAGAAAATCAATATCTTATTTAAGCTAGTATCTAAAGCAGTGTTTCTTAACTTTGACCGGTGCCCCCGACCCTCTTTCTTTTATTCAACTGGTGACCGCGAGAAGCGGTCCGGAAGGGTCTTTTTTTGTCCCCGAGAGAGCGTGCCTTGCAGTTTGAGAAACGCTGGGCTAAAGCTATTTAGGAGATTTTTTTAATGGCGTTTCCTTTTATTATTTAAGCTACTAATTAAAAAACACTTGTGTTAATTATATTATCTTTCAGGATTTTTGAATTGGGTCTTTATAGCTAATTTATTTCTCCTTATACTGATTATGTAAATGTTGGTTGATGGTAAAGTTTCTGTCAGTGATAGTATCTCCCCCTGCTCCAAGATGTCTTGAAACCCTGCAATAAAGCCTTAATTTAACCTCTTCAGGGTTTACTCTTCGAATGTTGGTGAGAGGGAATTGAGACACAGGATTTTCAAGATGCTTGAATTGTCGCTATGAACAAGAACAAAGGCGACAGAGCTGATGGAACTCATTACAGAGGGATCTCTCTTCTCGATATCGTGGGCAAGGTTTTCACTTGTGTGGTGCTACAGCTGCCACAGAAACTTATACATCATGTGTACTCAGAATCCCAATGCAACCTTCTCTCTGAGTTCCACAATGGACAAGACTGTCTTCCTACGACATTAACGCGAAAGGTTCAGAGAAAGAGAACGACTCTATACCTCACCTACAACGATCTCAACAAAGCTTTCGACCTTGTCACCAGACAGTCTCTTTCAATTACATTCAAAATAGGCTGCCCTGTATAGTTTTGCCATTCTGCGTCAACACAACCTAACGGGGGAAAAACCTAATACAAATACTTCGAAAGACACAAAGATTAAAGGCACAATTCTTATCCCATATGCTAGGACTAATTCTTACAAATGTTCCTTCTTCCCTAGTGCCATAAGTGCATGTAAAGGGCTACATGAATCCGCCAAGAAAACAAACGACTTAGCAGATTTAAAGCAACGAATTAACATGCATGACTACACTGAAATAGGAAACACCTAGGACGTAATTATTTTCTCTTTTGAAGTCACGTCTGTAAGTTATAAGATAAATCCTGTTTAATGGAGCCCGCTCAGAAGGTTTCAAGTGGAGTTAAGCAAGGATGTGTCTTGGCTCGAACGCTCTTTGGTATATTTGTTTTTGATGCTCAGCCGTCATGCTTTGGCAAGTGAACGTGAAACATTTACCTCCATTCTAGATTCAATGGTCAAATATTTAGCCTCGCTACATTAAACAGAAAAACAAAAATACCCCCTTCCTGTAAGAGACAAACTATTTGCTGGTGATGCAGCAATGGTGACACACCCTCAAGAGAAGATCCAGTCATTATTGTCCAATTTTTTCACAGGCTTGTAAGGAATATGAATTGACCATCAGCATACAGTAAACCACTGTGTTCGGACAACCCGGTCCAACGTCACTAACCATATTTATAGATGAATCCCTGATAGACGCGGTGCACGAATTCTGCTAATTACGATTCACAATCAAAGACCTGTCCCTAGAAGAAAATATAAAAAAGCGCATTGGAAAAGCTTTTTCGATTTTCAGCTGACTAACTGCTAACGTGTCTGGGAAAACAATTGATTCACTCACTTGGAAAACAAAGATGCAGGCACACATCGCATGTGTCCTGAGTTCCCTATTGTATTTGTACGGTTGTAGTCATAGACCATATTTGCGAAGTAAGAGAGCAAATTAAACAGTTTACAGTTACGGGTCTGTCTCCGCAGTATTTTGAATTTTAAATGGCAAGACAGAACAAGGTACACTGAGGAACTTTCTAGTATGTAGACAGCAAAAAGATCCCAAGTCCGTACGCCAGAAAATCGCCTTCCCAAACGACATCGTTATAGAGAGCTGTGTGCAGGCAACGCTCTCGGGTGAGCGTTATAAAGACATCATTGAGAGCTCCGTCAAGGAATATGATATTGACATTCACGGCTGGGAAACACTAGTTCTGGATCGCTCCTCATGACTTGAAGCCGTGTGTGTTTGAGTATCAAGATACGAGGCGAAAAGGGCGGCCAGCATGAAAGAACGCAGAGCCAACAAAAAGGTAGATAACAGTAATACCAGATGATTAACGTGAATCTTTTTTTTTTTTTGTTATATCAAACATCAGTAGCCACTGATGGATTAAGTGAACAAAAGGACGGGCTTTAGGGCGAGAGAGTGAGGTCGACGTGTTACGCGAATCCTCCTCACTTTAATCCAAATTCCAGCGCAAGTCACTTGTCATCCCCCTCCCCCAAGTGAACAAAGATGATAAGAACGGATTATTATTAAATTAATCATGTATGTTTACGATTTAAAAAAAATGAAACTCCTCTTTTCTTTCTGTCACTTTCTCTCACTCTCTCTCTCTTGTTCTATTCTATTTGTTCCTCACAATAATTTTTTTGTCTCTAATCCTTTCCCTTTTTTATGCCTTTCTCCCTCTCAGTCTCCCTCTCTCTGTCTCTATCTCTCTGACGCTCTCTATCTCTCTCTTTCACTCCCTGTCTCACTCTGTCTCTATTTCTCTCTGTCTCTCTCTGTCTCTCTGTATATATTTTTTCTCTCTTTCTCTCTTACATTTGCTTTGTTTCCACCTTCTCTTGTTTCTTTTTTTCTTTCCTTTTTTTAAAAATTGCAATAATGTTGATTTTAAAATCTCACCTGCTTCAATGAATGTTAATACAGAAAAAAAAATAAAAATCGTCATTTTATAAATCTTCAAATGAATATTCCAACACTGTTATGAAGCAGAGAACATGTGAAGTGAATGAGGAACCAAAATGACCCGGCTCATATATTCACAAAAGAGATGGACCAAACGGCGCAGAGATATCGTGTAAACTACATCAGAACATCTGTCATTTTGAACTGAGAGTGTGAACAACATTAAAAGTAAACCTAGATCTAATGGGGGGGGGGGGGGTTGACACTTCAATGGGCCTATGTTTTTATACCAAAGTCTAGATTCTAAATGTTGTCCATAATTGTTTTGTCACAAAAAAAATAAATTCTGAAAATGATTAGCTTAAACAGGAGCGAATTAATTATTCTTTACGCCAAGAGCAGCTACTTTCAAAAAGTGTTACTGCGATAATGCAACAAGATTACAGATGCGGCCCACTAAAAGGTTCTCATGAGTTATCTAGTTAGCAATGGATATGTAAAACAATACTAACAACATAAACAACATACAAAGTGTTTGAAAAAAAAAAGACAATACATAATTTGAACAACTTAAAGAGCGATTGCTTTGCTCTTAATAAATAATGAATGCTAAATTAAAAAAAAAAATGAACCTGTACATGTGTACGAAATTTCATGCGAATCTATTTGATAAGATCTGTTGATACATAAGTCAGTCATATTTTACAAATATCATATAGATTATCAGTTTTAGTATTTACAAAGCTTATATTCACTCACTCTGTCTGTTTGTTTGGTCAAAAGTTTAAACACGTTATTTCTCACACACCCAATGTCAGATCAAGCTGAAATTTTGCACAATTACATTATTTTAAATAGAAACAATAGATGAATTTACAATCTTCCTTCCATATTCATAAGCTCTACACTAGCAGAATGGTTACCGTGTTGGCTTGAGAATCATGAGAAGGCTTGAGCTAGGAGTTCGAATTCTGTTCGTTCCCCCATTTATTTTTATTTTTATACTTGCTTTTCTTTGTTAGTCTAGATCTATGACAAATTTAATTACATGACTGATCCAAACTAATTGATACAAATACGCTTAATATAAACAATAAAGCAGTAAATAAAACTGCTTCGCTATGTAGATGTAGTTGAGGTTAAAGTCTAGGTTACAATTCCTCTAAATGCGCAGAAATGTAATGGATTTTTTCAAGGAGGTTGAGACAATTTGAGAAGTTGTAAATATTTAAAAACAATATTTTTAATGTTTTTATTATATTTCTTATCAGCAAAAGTATCAACCGAAAGAATTCCAATCTATTTCTAGAATTTTTAACGATTTTATTTTATAATTGACTTAAATGAATCCGTTACAAAAATGTATCACTACACATCATTAAAAAGCAGAAGAAATAAATTCATAAAAAAAAAACAAGAACATCCTAAAAAATACTTTAAAAAAGCAAAGCTTATACGAAGTATAATTGCATCAATCAGTTTTAATCAGCCATGTGATTAAACTTGTAATAGATCTAGACCGACAACAATTACATCTGTGCGATTGATAATAGTTTAACCAATTGTTTTTGTTGAATGCTTTTTTATGCTTTTAGGTTTCTCACTACGCTATGATCCTATCACTTGTCTGGACCAGTTGGGGAAATGGGGGGTGGGGGAAGAAAGAGTCAGTTATCTGGGTGGGTTTCACCGTAATTGGATTTTAAAAGCATGTAAAAAAAATAATGGGACGACCTTAATTTGAACTCCTCTCTCTGCTAGTCAAGTTCTTATGACGAGAGAAGATTGCATAGTTATATATTGTTTATTACAATTTAGAGCGGCGACCTATAAAAGGGGACTAACTCAGCTTATACCACCACTTCATTCAAGTACAATTTCTTTTCCTTTATTCAAAAAATACCAAACCAAATAAAATATTTATCAATAGTTAATTAACTGTTGTTTTTTTTATTGATAAATGTGTCGTTACGTAAAATAAATAATTGTGCAAAAATTCATCTTGATCCAAATTTAATCTAATTGTGCACATAAAAGATTTTTCAATAAAACTTATAAGTTAAAGTTTTGTACTTAATTCCTTAAAATGCTCATGCAGTGTAGTTGCTATAGTAGGCTATTACACAAGGTTATTATTTTTTATCTCTACTTCACAAATAAAGCCAATAATTGCGTCATTAAAAAACCCAACATTTCAGATCGATCATATACCAATTATCTACATGGTGGGCGTAACTCTGCCAATTCTCAATAGTTCCACCATTTGGTTCTCTTAGGGCCCCAATTATTAAATTTTGCTGGAGTTTTGATGTAGCGATTGATCTAAACCTGAAGCCCCAGTAACAACAGAAAACAAACGTAATGCTAGCAAATTGTCCCTAATTATATATATATAAATTAGGGACAATATATATATACATATATATATATATAATTCGCGTCATGGCTCAACAGTCACCAAGAAGTAAAGGAAAGATCACTATTTTATTTCTGCAAGTCGGTCTACAGTTACCCCACGTAACTTTAGCGGCGAAAAAAAAGAGAGGGGGGGGGGGGGAGGGAAACAAGTAATTTACTCTGTATTCACCCGTCACTAAATAGCAGGGCCAGACTTAACCATTGTTACCAAGAAGTCATGGAAATATCACTCTTTTATTTCTGGTTTGTTACGATATAGAGTTGGTTCTTTATCAACATGTTTTGTAGATTTTCGACAAGCTGTTCATTGTCAGGCCTTTAACCGATAACTACATCAGTGCTTGACAGCGTTCCCCAACGTAAACACCAGACTTATTCAGCTTAGGAAAATCCCAAACAACTCTTAGACCAGGGGTCTCAACCAGTGGGTCGCGACCCCCTTGGGGGTCGATTGACCATTTGCCAGGGGTCGCCTAAGACCATCGAAAATATGGATTGTTATTGTCTACTCTTAAATTGCTGTATGTGTATTGGTGGGAGGGGGGGGGGTCGCGGCAGAGTGGGGGATTGTAAAAAGGGTCGCCGAGCTTAAAAGTTTGAGAACCGCTGTCTTAGACTTATGTAGTAGGGTGGATGCTTGTTCAGGCCACACCGGCCACTCCGATATCCACGTGACCTTTTTTTTTCCTAGATGGCGTCTTGTGTCCGCGCGTAAAAAGGCGAAACAACGTGGACACTGTCCATTCTACATTCTACAGTGACAAGAGATTCCGGTAGAATGGACACAGGAGCAAGGGGGAGCACTTTATGCACAAAACGTTTCGGATTTTAAGTACGATGCAAATTACGATATACTATTTTTTTTTGTAAGACAAAAATAGTTCAACCATACACAGAGGTGTTTTAAATTTAACCTCCCCCCCCCCTCATTTTCCATGAACTTCACATAGACTTATAAATAAAAAGTATTTAATGATAATATAATA